GCCGAGGAAATGGTCATAAAGCCAGAAACTTGGTATGCGCACGCACACCTGATCGGCGCCGCAGCCCAGCCCAGCCGCACCGTTCCGGGGGATGCTGGTTCCCTTCGCGGCCCCAGCGCCGCCCAGATCTGTCAAATCACTGACCGCTGCCCTTTAAGTTGTGCTGGTGGCCCCTTGGACGGGGGTTTGGGTTTTCAGCCTGGACGTTTCTGGCCAGAGCTGTCTTTGGACTGAAGGTTATCTGACAGGAGTGCTTTTCCTTTTTTTCTTTCTTGCCCTTTCCCTTCTCTATCTCTATGTTCTATGTGTTCCTGTATTTTCCTGAGTCTGGCTCTCTGAGGTGTAGGTTTGCATTTCTCACTCAGTTTAAAACGTGCATAGTTTGTTTTGTTGTTTGTTGGTTTTTTTTTTTTTTTTGATGATACAGTTTGACCTTTGTGGCCAAGGAGGCGTTTCCTGGAATAACAGTTTAGTCAATCTTTCATAAAAGTTGAATGCAAAATAATTTAAAGATTAATCAGTAATATCTCCTATTCTATTTAAACTTCTGATGCTCAATTCCATGGTAAAACCAGATTTAAAAAAAAACTGCTAGGGGGGGTGCGTGTGTGTTCGTTATTAGGATAGTCGTGCAAATCTTCCATTATACAAAAAAAGCTATGTTGAGAGTGCAAGGAGAGAGCAGTTACAGAAAATTAAATGTTTGCCTGCATCTATTGGCAAGAAAGTTAGTAGCTGCTCAGCTGTTCAGGCAGAATATCCGTGTAACACAAGTGTTCTTTTAAATCTAGCGCTGCAGAATATTGTTTCTATGTTCTTTGGAAATGTTAGGTTAGAGTGGTTGTTCTCTGGCTTCAGTGGTTTCTGATGTTCTTGCTGAATCTAGCTACATAGGAAAATTCTGCTTTTTATTACAAAAATGCAGCTGAAAGGGGAAAAACTTGCATTATTAACAGTGATTTATTACATAATTCAAGTACACAGAGATTATATATTCCATGTAGCATTTGCTGCAGAAGTCAAGTGTGTGAATGATCTATTTTCTTTCCCAACTAGTTATTTTGACAAATTACAGGCTTCTCAAATTAGCCTAAAGTAATAGAGGACTAGCTGCTGTTGATAGGGGGTACATTGTAAATGGAAACAGGGTGACTCTGGAAATTTGAACTGTTTATTCTACCGTTCTTTTATAGTATATTTCTGGATTGTTAGGGTTTCCAAAAGTATGTTTGAACTGAGGTATTATCACTAGATTAATATCTGTTATTTGTTCCTGGAAGGAAAAAAGTGTTGGTATCAAATCAAAGGCATGGATAGGTTTTTAATATAAGTATTTCAGTTACAAAAAATAACTTCTGCTTTAGATACTTGTGTGAAAGTGAGCTATCCCTTTTAAAGAAATTTTTAATAGGTTTGGTATAGAAACCTGTCTCTAATGATGAAACTAGAGATGTAGAGGAAGAACTGTTTCAGGCAGTAAACAGAAACTTCTGCGGTGGAGTTTAGGAAGTACAGACACCTGTCTGGACTTGATATAGGGGAAGGACTTCAAACTAGTACAGTTAGAAAATGAAAAGCTTAAAATACTTGAAAATAAAAAGTAATATGTTACATGTGGCAATATTAATCTGCATAACAAATATATAGCATTTATGTATGAATACTTGAAGATAAAAGTAATGAGTGATTTCGGGTATATAGGAAAAAAAAGCAGTATTTGTGGGTATTCAGTCTTCGTACTTTCTTCAGGTGTTACTTGGGTAGTCACCAAAAACATCTTATCCTTTTGATTTGAGGGGCCTGAAAACACTGTATATACGCTCACGCTAATATTTGGGCACAGGTAGGTCTGATGATAAAAGCAACGGCTCACACAAAAGCAGCATTTAGTGGGTTCTTTTGAAAAGCAAATTTTAAAGATGATGTGAGGAGTCTAAATATTGTCCATACTGTTTCTTATTGCTTGTGTTCCTAGAGGAAATAGTCTGTGTTTAACTGAAAACCTGAGAAGAGTGGCAAGTCGGTGGGGTGGTGTGTGGGTTTTGGTTTTGTTTTTTTTTTTTGGTAACAACTTAAACTTATTCTGACTGTTGAACAGTTTAAATTAATTTGGCTGTATTTATCTCTTGATTTAGGACAAAACATTTGGCCTAAAGAATAAAAAAGGTGCAAAACAACAGAAATTTATCAAGGCTGTTACTCACCAGGTTAAATTTGGTCAGCAAAATCCACGTCAGGTAAGCATTTAATCTGTAATGTTTTCCCCCTGTATAGTGAAATCATCTTTCACTATATGTATAGATTGTCATATAATACTGAAGTAGAAGGTTGTTATTTGATAATGTATTGTGACTAGCACAGATTTAACTATATAGGCTTCTTGCAAAGCATGTCTAGCTGCAAATTATGTACCAAAAAACCCAAACCCAACTAATAAGGGTGTGTGTTTCTTTACACAGTGTTCTAATAGTAACATAATTAAGTTTAAGGTATACCTGAAAGTAAGTTGTAGAAACTGGCTATCAGCAAAGTGCGGTTATATATTAAAATTATATTATATTATAAAATATATAAATATATATTATATTAAAAATGTATAAGCTCATATGTGCTGCTTGCTCTACTTATAGAAGTATTTATTATAATTTAAAATGGAAACAAGTCTGACAAGTCTGCATCTATTTGGTGAACTGGTCGAAGAAACTGAAATGTTGAGCTACTGTCTGCTACTCTGCTCTTCTTTTGTATGATGAAGTAAAATGTGATGTGGTTGAGATACAATGTTTATATTACACTCAGAAAGCAGAAATTTTATGAAAATATTTTTATAATGGAAGTGAGTCAGGTCTCTTATTCCTACAGTGCTAGGGAAGCTAGTTGCTAAGTATTTATGCAGCCTCCTGTTCTATGAGTAAGCCTGTAGAACATTACATTTGCATCAGCTAAATTCCTGATGTCATAATTTATGTTAAATTCCTTGCATAACATAAGGATGAACTAACAAATGTCAAGTACAACTTTAAAGGTGAAGTCGATATTCGGGTCATTAGATCTAACAATTTCTTATAGTGGAAAGGAATGCTTGTTGTCACTTCAAAAGCATTGGTGTTACTCCAACAGTTCTGAAATTTCTATATGAAGTCTGTGAATCTGTAGCATTTAATGGAATAACAGTATGTAAATTAGCCAACCAAAAATAATTAGTTTCTCAAATGCTCTTAGCTGTTGACTAATGGGTGTCAGAAGCTAATTTTTAGACCCGGTTATACCTTTCTTTACCCTGGAAAATGGTTTTCTGTTAGGGTTGTCCCTGAGAAAGAAAGAACACTTTAAAGCAATTACTGTTGTGTCCTAAGATACAAATGGAAATGCTGTCAAGGTTGGTGGGGTTTTTTTTGTTTAAAAAGGAAAAAAAAAAAAAAGAGGCAAGCTTCATCTTCATGCTTTTAGAACCCTAGGGTGAAACAAAAGCATTCTTAAAGTACTGCTTTTTGTAGTTGACATGTGTGGGTCTGCATGCTATATAAAATAGGATTTGTGGACTTTCAGTATGAAGGGTGAGTGTTCTGTATGTGGACTAAATTAATCAATTCTCTTTTAAAACAATTTGGCATTTTCTTGCCAAATTCACTATAAGAACACAGCTTCTTTTTAAATATTACACTGTATTTTACCAATAAAGTACCCCACATATTTGTATAGTGATGTTAGTCTCACTACCTTCCCTTAAGGATAAGAATCAAATCATCTAATAATGTTTCTCCCAAGTCATCTTTCACCTGTATTCATCCTTCTCTACCACTCTGGTATAGACACAGGCCTTTTTTTGCGTATTGGAAAAGGGTAAGGCAGAGTCACAGGGTTTGGTTGGTTTTTTTTTTATACACAAACTTTTCTTAGGTGAGCCTGTTTTTCAGACCTTGGCCCCTAGTACCTATAAAATGAATGTTCTTGTCTTTTATAAACCACTGGTTATCAATGAATTGATAGAACACTTTTTTGTTTGAATTTATAAAAGCAGTTCCTAACTTCTACAGGTGGATTTCCTGGAAGTACTACTGGTATACATGAAGAGAAAGAACAAAGCAGTGTGTAGGGGACTAAAGATAGAGAAGCTTTTTGCACAGATCTTGAAGTAACTGCATTGAATAGTTGCACTGCTAATGTATCACAAAAGAGCAACTAACTTTTACTCTCCTTAGCCTCAATATCTTTCACTTGATTTCCTAGCCTGTAAGGGTGGAATAGAGGTAACTGTGTCATCTAATGGTACCTTACCAGCATCTCACACCTCTGGCAAATTGCATTTGGTATCTCTTCTGTTTGAAAGGTCAGTACCACTAGATGGCACTGGCCATTCATGCAAGGGCAGGAATTCTGAGAAATTCAGAAATCACAGGTTCTTTCCATCCTCCCCTTATAAACTAATTTAAAATGATTTGCTATTTTAATGTAGAGTTCGTGTGAAATGAGTAATGTCATTCTAATTATATAATAATAACTTCAAATTTGGGGTCATTATAGGCTGCTCAAACAGAAAGTGAGAAGAAATTAAAAAAAGAAGATAAGAAAAAGGAATTACAAGAATTAAATGAACTCTTCAAGCCTGTGGTTGCTGCACAGAAAATTAGCAAAGGTATGAGTAACTGGACTCTCTTTGTTTATGTTCTCTTAGTCATATATATCTACGTCAGGTAAAATAACCCCTTAAAAATGCCAGTTCATTTTCTAGTACAGTAGATGTGTCTGTTTCCTTCTCTATCTAGTGTACCAAGTAGTTTGTCAGTAATGACTTGACTTTTTTTAGGAAGTCATCTGGGGTTACTAGACCATTAGAATATCAAAAGCTACATTGATACTGACAGGGCAGCTATATTTGCTGTATTCATGTTCATTAATTAGATGCTTCTGGATCGGTAGCATGATTTTTGTGTGTGTGTGTGAAGGTATTTGTTTAAAGCAGCCTATCTTCCCAGGGAAACGTGAACATCCAGGTATTACAAGGAATATGATACGATAACTATTGCCTTCACAGAAAACTTGTATTCAAATCAGAACAGTAAAATTTTTCCGGTTACTTCTGTCCCACCTCCGTTAACAGTAGGGCTTGGTTTTGGAAGTGTGGTCTTATTTGAACTCACTTATCGAACAAACTAGTTTTGTGATTAAATGTAAGTTTAAGAGTGTTTGATACTTCTAGGAAACTCTACAATTGGCTGCCATGTGGGAGACAAAAAAATCATACTTTTAGGAATGAACTTGCTTTATTTTGGAACTAGTGAAATAACGTGCAATAATTTTTTGACTAAACAAGTGTGATTTCCATGTATGTCTTTAAAGCAAACCTGAATTTGTTCACTGTGTCACTTAGCAGCAACAAAAGCCAGTTTTCTGTTTGATCTGCAGTGGTCAGCTTTGTCCAAATAAAGTAGCTCTTGACTTAACGTTATTTCAGAAGACTAATATTGTCCTAATTAAAGCTTTGCCTTTCTATTCAGATTGCCAATGAGGAGAGCTATATTACCTGAAGTTCTTTTAGGGATCCACTCAGCATTTAAAAACTAGATTTTTAGTTAAGATTTTAAACAGGTGTTGCTGTACATACTGTAGTCGCTGGTGACTTGCACCAAGCTTAAAATCTGCAAGTGAAAAACTCGAGCTTAAAATCTTACATGAGCACTTAATGAATATTACAAGTAAAGCATTTCTGATTTAGTCGTTTCTCATAAACATGTTTCTATCTGCTTTCATTTCTTTTCTCACCTCCTAATAGTCAAATAATTCCTTAAGTGGGATGACATTTACTTAAACTGTAGTTAGGTTGATTGAATAGTTCACACTATAACAACAGTTGCTTATTTTGGGGGCTATGAGCAGCCATTTTCTTTCTATTATTAAAGAAAGTGGTCTGAATGAGTGTAGGTTAGATTATTATAATTTATTCTAGTGTATTGTTGATCTATTAAGGAAAGGCTGACATCCAGAAGATACTCTACTGTGTAGTAGAGGCAAAAATAGCTTATTGTATAGGGAAGAAGTGGTACGGGCTGATATCTTGTATGTATTATGTTATATGAATGAATAATTCACTCAGGCACACTGCTATGTGTATTTCCTTAAATAGTCAAGTGCCAGCTTTGGTACTTGATGTGAATATCATGCTATACAAAGTAAATAGGACATGTTCAGGACATGGAGTATTTACTTGTGATGAAAGTCACATTAAATAACTTCCATTTTTAAAAATGTGTTTTCATTCTCTGCAGATCCTAAAGACTGTATGATCCTAGACATTGTTCTCAGAACTTTTAATATACAGCTTTTGCTCCAGTCTTGTGTTTTGCTTAAAAATAGTATTAAAATGTAAAAACTTTCTTCACTCAGGTGCTGACCCCAAATCTGTAGTTTGTGCTTTCTTCAAGCAAGGACAATGCACTAAAGGAGACAAGTGCAAGTTTTCTCATGATTTGTCTTTGGAAAGGAAGGGTGAAAAACGAAGTGTCTACATTGATGCAAGAGATGAAGACCTTGAAAAAGGTATAATACTTCTAGAAAATGACTACTGAACTATTCTCATTCTGAAACTGGATTTTTAAGATTAAGGGTTGTGTTGTGGGTATGATCCTGAAGAGCCTGGTCAGTGACTAAGGCAACCCATACCACTGTGTTCAAAATTATGAGCAACAGTGAAACTTCCTTTAAAAAGTGTGCTCACAAGTATTCTTTAGACCTTGTGTAGAAAAAGCATGACCTAGTGATACTGGATGGTGGTTTTTTAATTCTGCTGTGTAGCATATTATGTCATACAAGTAGCAAGTTATACAGTATTTAGTTTTACTTATAGTTGCTAGTTTCTTTTAAGTTCTACAAAATGGATGTGCAAAAGGAGGAAGTGTAATGAGCAACCATAGTTGCCTTCCAGAACTATTACTACTGTTTGCCCAAATGTGCGCAGTTCTAGAATTCAGGATACTTTGGAATTTTTTTCTGTGACTTTGTCTCCTTTCTCCAAATCATTTGTTGGCAAAGTACTCCGGATTTTACTTCTACTTAGCAGGGGTTAGAGGCTTTTTAGTCAGAACAATTTCTTTGTTTTTTCCACAATTAATCATATCTCAGTCTTTATTTGAATTTTAGCTTCTGTTGTCCTAAATTAATAGGATAGGATCCCATAGATTCACTACTCCTATTACCATTGGTGATCTTGCTTCTTTTGATGGCATCTTCTTTTAACTTTAACACAGAAAATCTAGTATTATCTCTTTTGATCCTCAAGTTATATAATTTGTATTTCTGGATATTAGCCTCCAGCCTTCTCTTTTATTCAGTCATCTTATTTGTCTTCTTTTCCCTTGTCCACGCTCGGTCGTGTACAGATGGAATGACACAATTTTTAGTCTTTAACTGAAACACTTTATGCATGTCAAAAATATAGATTTCTAAGGCTTTTGAGGAAATTGTCTTGTGAGCAGCATAGGAGAGTTTGAAAACTTTGTAATAAAAGCCTGAATTTATTTTTCCATTCTATAAACCAATTAAAATGTAAGAACTGCATATTAAAACTGTTATTAGGGAGAAAAGCAACTTGACAGTATTGTTTACTATTTGGATTTTTTGTGAAACCGTCTGTTGTCTGTTTCTAGATACAATGGATAACTGGGATGAGAAGAAGCTGGAAGAAGTGGTGAACAAGAAGCATGGTGAGGCGGAAAAGAAAAAACCCAAAACTCAAATAGTATGTGTCTCTTTCTTTTTTTTTTTTTTTTTTTTTTTAAATTGAGCTGTAGTAGAGAGAATTAACTGCAGACTGGTATTAGGTATGGTTATTGTTATGTAAAGATTTTGAATGGAGTAATGTAACAATAGTCTGAGTATACAGCTGGGCTGATAGTATTTCTAATAATATATTTTAAAAAACCCCAAAACACCCCAAAGCTCTTTCAGTCATCATAAGGTTTTTAGTCATGTAAAATATAAATGGATAGTAGATTAAATGCTTTCAAAATAGAAGTGCTAAAGGAATCAGTAATATATCTAATGGCATCCTACTAGCTTAGAAGATTCAAGTATTGTGATTAGTTAGGTCTGTCATCTCATTCCAGCAACTCCCGTATATATTGGCTTATTTATGGACTAGGTGACATAGAAGCATATAAGTTTAAATTTTCTCCTGTAAGCTGAAATTTACTAATTGAGTAATTTGTAGTTCCTGACCTCTAACTTCAAGAATACTCTTCAGTTTGTGCATTAAATGGTATCTTAATCTCTTTTTCATTGTTCAGAACTATTTCACCGTGTTTTCAATACCAAATAATTAAATATTCTATACTGCTGAAATTTGCAAAAGTTAAAATTTGATATGGCTAAGTCTGAGCTATGAATTGCTTGTTAAAAATTCCAGAATGTCATCTTTACCTCAGGATCATGAGCTGGAAGGTTTAACATCTGAGACCAGATTCAATTTGTTTTGATTAGAACTACACTGATGTTGGTGAGCAGGAAGAGAGAGACTGTCAGCATGCTTTTACATGTACGGCTGGCTTTACAGTCGTACACAGTTGCCAGTCTTCTGAGTCATCCTGTCTCTTTAAGTTGGGATTATATTAAGGGGAAAAAAGCTATTGACTGCACGAGTTTTAGATAATTAGTTGCACTTATTTTTGTCTCATTTTCTTAGTAGCAATGCGTTTCTTCTGTTTTGAGCACAACTGGCTTTGAATTACTATACTTTGACATGTAGTAGCTATATGTGTAGTATAAATTGCTTGGCACGAAAAGAGAATGCAGTACTAACAACCATTGTTCTATACAGGTCTGCAAATACTTCCTTGATGCTATTGAAAACAACAAATATGGATGGTTTTGGGTCTGTCCAGGTGGAGGAGACAACTGCATGTATCGCCATGCTCTCCCTCCAGGTTTTGTATTAAAAAAAGACAAAAAGAAGGAGGAAAAGCAAGATGAAATTTCTTTAGAAGATCTAATAGAAAAAGAGGTAAAGTTGTCAGAAAGGTACCTTTTGGTGGTATTTGTTTTTGTTACTCTGAAGAGACAGCTGTAAATAACTTCCCAATTAATAACTAAAAAGTATAAAATGTTTTTATAACTGTATGAGCTAAGGTGAAGGATGCGTAGTATTTGATTCATGTTTTTGTTTAGAAACTATTATCTAGTGAATAGATTAAACTATAGCTGCATACTTTGTGCAGGTGTTGCTAGTACCTTTTTAGGAGGCTTCAACTTCTGACTGCTATTTTTCCTTTATCTATTACAACTGTTTCTATGGGCCTTTCTCATGCCCAGCTCACTGCCTTCTTAGTTCTCACATAACTCTGTAATGAGGAGGCAACACCAAGAGAACAGAGCCTTCTGATGGTGTTACGTTGCTGCTCTGCTTATTTCTGTCACCATTGCCTGGCAGTGTTCATTTGAGGAGAACCTGAGCTATTATTGTTGGTTTCTTTCCTCCTCTGCTTTTCATGTTAACTTTCATGTCGGTTTACCTTACTAACTGGAAAATCGTGTGTTGAGTCAAACTTTAAGTTGATGGCGCATGTTTAACAGCGATGAGAGTGAAGAAGGAATTAGAAATATTTTCAATTAGTTTCTGGAAAAGAGTAATTAAATCTCTAATTTGTTCTAGCCTTTGGAAACAATTTCTAGCATTAATCAGTCTCTTTACTTGACAGCGTGCTGCCTTAGGACCAAATGTTACCAAAATTACTCTAGAGTGTTTTATTGCATGGAAGAGAAGAAAAAGACAAGAAAAAATTGATAAGGCTGAGCAAGACATGGAGAGGAGGAAAGCAGATTTTAAAGCTGGCAAAGCACTGGTGGTATGTTCTACACTCCAATTCTTAATGTAAGAAGAAAGAGTAAATAAGTTTTTGTAATAAGGTAGCTGGCCTGGAATTGCTTTGCTTTTCTTTTTTTTTTCTTAATTTTTTTTTTTTTTATAGCAGTATAAATTCCATCAAGTAATAAATTAAGATTTCTTTTTCTGTGAATAGATTAGTGGACGTGAAGTATTCGAGTTCCGGCCAGAGTTGGTTGATGCAGATGATGAAGAAGCAGATGACACCCATTACATTCAAGGAACGGGAGAAGATGATGAGGTAAAGAACAGTATTAACTCCAATAATATTTCAAGTTACATTCAGGTTTGAAAACTTCTAATTTGAGAACTCTTACAGTGCAATTAATAAGCTTGGTTCTTAATTTATCACTGCTACAGGGTATATTTTGTCAAAATTTTGGTGTCAAAAGGAAGATTAACAAAATTTTGAGGAAATCCTGCAGAAATGAGAATTTCTGTAGAAAAGTAATTCATGCGGAGTATCTTGGTTTATTTTTCAGATGGAAGACCCTGTGTGCATAAATGATGTAGATTTGAGCCTGTACGTCCCAAAGGCTGTAGATGAGACTGGTATTACTGTGGCTAGTCCCGAGCGATTCAGTACATACAGTTCAATAGAAAAAGATGGTAAGTTCATTATTTAGGCATGGCTAATACGGGAATGAATTGGTAAGAGCTTCCCAAAAGGTAGATAGAAATGAATTATTAATCTGCTGAAAAGATGTATTTGTTTAAAAAGGGTGGGGGGAGTGAAATTACTATCAATGATACATGTAGTTACTAAAAAAAAAAAAAAAGCTTGTAGTAAATGCTATTCACTTCTTGTTTTCTTAAATTCAAGTTTAAATAAAAGGTGGTGTTTACAGCCACTTCAAGTAAATCCTCAAGATATTTGTTTTAGCAGTTTCCCCTTTTTTCAGATTTAGTAAATGACTGAATGAATATCAACAAAAATCCAAGCTTTTCTTCATATTTTCTAGCTGGCTTAAGTTAGCTTGTAATTTCTTAGAGCGAAGTCTTGATCTTGGTGCCCTTCTGGAATGCACACCCTGATCTTTAAGACCCTGAGTCTTTTAAGTGCAGACATTGAGTAGGAGCAGCTCATTAAGTTTGACCCAGTTATGAAAACAGGAGTTCGAGGAGTTGGGATTTTTGAGTTATTTTTTTAACCTGTTTTAATAATTGATGATCCAAACCTACATATTAATCAGGTACATGTAATTTAACCAATATAAGTCTACATAAATTTCAAATAAAGTAACTTCTTCATAGTTTCAAGACTTTTAAAGCCTGTTTAGTAGGATTGTGAATTAGTGATTAAGAAACTTGTGACACTGAAATGTGTAAGAAATATTTTTATTTTCAGATAATAAATTAAGTGAAGCTTCTGGTGGTGATATAAACAGCAGTGAGCAAAATGATTTAGAGGAAGATAATGATGGAGATGGGGAGTTGGAAAATGGAGTAATTGATGCAGTTCCAGTTGATGAGAATCTTTTTACTGGAGAGGACTTGGATGAACTAGAAGAAGAACTAAACACTCTTGATTTAGAAGAATGAATTAAAAAGCTCAACTGAGGAGTTAAATCTATGTGACAAAGTGAAAAATGACTACGTTTTTTCTCCTTTTTGAATAGAATTCTTAAACAGGATGTTTATGGTTACCCAGCTGATTCTGATGGGCACGTCATATACCAGGAATATTTTCCTTCAATCTCATCTACTCCAGTCTTGACTATGCTCACAGTAAAATATTCAGAGTAGTTCAGAATTACCTGACAGCTGAATTCGCAGAAAATGAGATTATAACTTTCAACTAAAAGTAGGAAGTGTAACTGCTTTGCCAGTATGCAAGTATAGGTGGGCAATCTGATACCAGGTACAGTATAAAAATCAAAGTATACTTTCTTCACCAGAACTGCATTTTTATTAGTGATTGTGTTAATTTAGAAGCTGCCTGAAGTGTGTTTAGGCAGTATTCTCTAATGGAGCTGATGCAGATTATGCTTCTTTAAGTGGTGATTAGCTTTATTTGATCAGCTGGATACTGAAGATTGTGAACTGATACATCATACAATACAATATGGTGCCCTCTGTTTAAAATGTTTTAAACTTTCCCACCGCCTTTTGCCAACAAAACTGTAAATAAAAACTATCAACTTTAAAATACCTGTGTTGATTTTTCTCTGTTAAGTTAGGATATCATACCAGATTGTTAATAACTTCACTTTCTAATACAGTGATGAATATTTTTCTCTCCAGTCCTCATACAAAGTGATGATGTTGGCTTCAGTTAAATTAGGGCTAACTGCAATTACAATTTTTTTTTCTCCACTTCATGCAGTCTAAAACTCAGCAGCTGATTCTTCCCCTACTCTTCTTTATTTCCTACCCATCCATGAACTGATTTAATACATGCTATAGATTACTCATTGCTATTTGAGTCTCATTCTTTCCCCACTGTGTTTTGTAGATTAGCAAAGACTTCAAGCTCTACAGAGCAGGGATGTTACGGTCTAAAAAAAATCCTGTCATATCTTCGGTGTTCTATAAATAACATGAAGTTATGCAGTAATAAATTGCCTCAAAGCAGAGCAGTGTTGTACCCTGCAGGGGGCACTTACTGTCAGGCTTAAACGAAGTCAATGTGCCCTTTTAAAATTCACTGAAACCCTGCCATAGATTTCTCTGTAGTGGTGCTTTTTCCAGGGGGCTGTAGGTTATGCCTCCTTGCCATACTCCTAGTAGTATCTCCAACAGTATTGCTGTACTAATGATACAGTTTGTATCGATTTTTCTAAAGCTTTTAAATTGGTACTTAAAGACCGTTAAGATTCATGGCATTGTTAGTGAGCTTTCTCAAACTGCTTTTGGGTGGTAATATTAGCTTTAATGGTTATTTCTGACACTGCTAAATTGACTCTTGTATCTTGAAGGCTACTTCTAAAATAGCTGACTTAGACATGTTTTGCCCTTTTGGGGATCTTTGGAATTTGTTTTCTCCTATAGGAACGAGAAGCAGTGTTTGGGAGAAAGAGGCCTACTGAAATTGACTTCTAAATGTAAGTGTTTAAGGAAAAGCTGCAATATTGGATATAAATATTTATTTATGGAGTTTTTTTTCTCCTATGGCCGTAAATAAACAGTGTTCACAGATTGTTGTATTATACTGGCCAGCAATAGGATACCTGGATTATCAGGACACTTAAGAATGCAATTCATATTTGAATGTATGATGCATAATTTTTCAAAGTTGTATATTTTAAATGGGAATAAAAGTAATTTAATCATTATCAAGGATGAAAATGGCTTTCCATGTTTTGTGTCTTAGAGGCTGGTATGTTGCATATAGTACTGATTTCTATAATAGTGATCTCTTTCACTGACCTAAATAGGTTAATTCTTTGCCACAAAATTGTGTCAATGTTGTTAATTGTTTGCATGTTACAGCGGAGGAATGACAGGGTAACTCATACTAATTTTAGCTAATAAAGCACAGAGAGATGGGCAGAGAGAGAGCGTGTGCGCGCTTTTTGGGCCCAAGGGCTCAGTTGTGGTGCATAACTCCTTTGTGCAGGCGTTGTTTAAACATTAGGACAGTCACCTTGCATAGTATTTAAATACGTTGACTATCTGTAAGTTAGTTGAAGAAAAATTATTTTCATAGGCGCGGTTACTGACAGATTAATAGTTCGCTATCCTTTTTTTTGGTTTTCAGCCTTTCCTCTTAACTTATTCTGGCACTTCTCCTGACTGGACTTGTTCTAGCCTCTTGGCTTGGTTGGTCTGTCTATATTTCTAACCGTGAAAGCAAGGTGACTGCTTGTAAAGAAGTCTCTGTCAGTGTAGCATTCAGGCATACTTTTAGGGATTAGCAGCAACATGCTGCTACATGTTCCTTCTGCTTGAAGATAGGCTTGAATATAACCTGTTAAAAGTTCCTAATCTTGTCAGTTAATGAAGCCTAAATTTGCAGTGACAGGCTGTTTCAGTCAATAAATGCGCAATTAAAAATGAATGCAAAGGCGTTACTTAAAGTAGATTAATTATTAATATTTTGGAAATGAGCACTGATAGAATGGAGTCCAGCTGCGTGTGACCTTACCACTGAGTGGTTCCTATTGATGCAACTTTCCAAAAATTAATCTCATGTAAAGTGAGTGAGTCACTTAAGGAAAAATGAGATACAATCTGAATCCTAAAATAGCAGTATCTTCACTTCAATGACTGTCCAGTTTGTATGGGTCAAAAATAGAGTATTTCACTTCTGCAGGAGAAGGAAGGCTCGGTCCAAGACAATTACTGGGTCAAGGTCAGGCTGTAAAGGATCATAAGCCAGGGAAGAAACACCCCTGCAATAAACTTTATTCCTATCCCTTGCAGCCTGCACCACTGTTTGTGTCATCTTGTTTTTCTCATAACTTAAATGAGGACTATGTGAGAAGTGTAGTGTAGCTATGGCTTTAACATTTCTTGAGGAAATATGCTAGTGTAGCAGTTGGCCTTCACAGCACCTTTGTTACTGGACACCTGTGTGGACAAAACCAATTTAAAAAATGCTGCAGAAAACCCACGCCTTTTCTTTCTGGTGATTGCTATTGTGGAAGCAGATTATTTGTTTGCTTTAAATGTTGATTGTATGTTAAAATCCCATTTCCATCACACACAAAAACTGCTTGAACTGGTGAGCCTTAAATTCTCATAGGATTTTTTTTTTTTTTGAGACCCGTGTGATTGAATTTTATGCTTGCAACTGCTTTGTTACTCAGAGCTCCCTACTTGTTTTATAATGAACACTTGATAAAGGCCTGGAAAAAAATTGGAGGAAAAAATAAATTTAAAGACTGACCTTAAATATTACACTATCTATTAGTTGTTTGTAACGGAAATATTGCCATTTCTTAATGGACAACGCTTCCCAACTGCTTTTTATCAAGGGGAGGTTTTACTATTGATAAACTTCGGAAGAAGCAGTGGTACTTTTCTTGGCAATTCAGTATTGTCATAATAGATTATTTTTATTTAGCAAATAGATTGTACAGAAAGAACTTACACATACAATTAGTATACTTTTATGAATATTTTATTTGAATAACTTAATGAAACTGTAGTGTGATTAAGTGACTAAACTAAAAATCTTACAAAGTTAGATCTTTGTTTCCCTCACAGTGAAATTATTACAGCCCTGAGTTGAGAGAATGAGACTGTTCTCACATGCAAACGTTTCTGATATATATTCACCTGAAGCATCTCAGGAGAAATACCCCCTGAATAACATCAATAAGAATAGGAAGAGAATTGGAAAGATGAGATCTGGGAAGGCCAGAGGAACTGCAAGGAAAAAAAACCAAAAGCAAACAAAAAAAACCCCCAAAAACCAAACCACCATCCCCTCCCCAAAAAAAAACCAAACAAAAACCAGCAGCTGCACTGCATGAGACCAAGAGACTGTTTATCACACTCCAACAGCCAGGCACATGAGGAAGAAAGAGGTAAGAAAAGGAGAAGCCCATGTATTTCTCAGGAGGGCCTGTCGTACATAGCTTCCAACTATTTTTTTAATCTAGAAGATTTTCTGTACTAGATGTAGCCCATGATGGTTTTATCTTCCAAGTAAGTACGTTCCCTGTTTCTCCCTTGAATCCTTAAAAATTTTTAGCATCTTTTGGAAACCCAACAGTTCCACAGCTCTGCTGCATCTTGTTTTGAACATGACTCTTACTAGCTTGTATTATTAGATCTCTAGGGAAAAAGTCTTAGAGGAAATGATATCCTATGCCTTCCTTTGCTTTGATGGTGCCAGGTACAGCAAGTGGATATAAAAAAAGGAGTTGATGTATTTCAGTTGTGAAGAACACAGTCGCCTGATGTGTTTCAGTGCTAGAAACACTTTTTACAAAATTAGAAACTTGTCTCTTAAGGTGCTTGATTATTTGCTACGAATCGGCCTTAATCCGCAAAATCTTTAACAAAGCACATAGTCGTTGTTCCGGGTTATGTACCGGGTGTATTTTATGTAGCTGTGATCACATTAAGTGCTTTTACAGTGATATCTGCAAATCACCCTTCTCTTTTTCCCTCATGCTAGTATTAGAGGCTTAGAAGTGACCTTGGCTTAGTCTGTCACTTTTAGTTCTTTCGTTTCAATAGATGCTCTGTCTTTTTACAGAGAGCGGCTGTTGCTGGTATTAGCAATAAGGCCAAGATGTTTTATTCATTTATGATGTTATAGCCCTAATATGTGGCCACACTAGGCTCCTTCATAGCACTTTATTGAAATGAATGGCAAAAATAATCAGTTCTTTCGATCATAAAATAGCAGCATCTCCATTTGTGTTTAGTGAGAGAGTGAGGTAACCTCTTTATTTTACATTTGTGATTGAAAAATTGTTAGAGAGTGTAATACATCTGGACATAAATTTGAGCAAGGCTGGCTTAAAACTAGAGATGTTCCCAAAGACCATCCAATCAGAATTAAAAAAAAATGAGATGGACTCCTAAATTAAAGCAAGATATAATGGAAAAGAAAGCATCACAGTTTTCCTTGGAAAAAAACCCACCTAAACTGCTATATAAAATGCATGGAAAGAAGTAGTAGCATTCCTGAAGGGAAGAGAGGAGCAAATTATTATAGAAGGTTCACAAGACGAAACGATATTCTTTGTACAGTCAGCCATTAGGGAAATGTGTTCTACGGATGCTGCATCCTTGGACCCGCGTTGGAATGAAACTGTCTTGTCAGCATATCATATGGATGTAGTGCATCTTTTGTAGTTGCAGAAAATCAGCTAAAACCTTACATTTCTCGGGCCTCTAGTAAATTTTAACAGGCTTGCCATTCTAGGAGACCTTTTGTCCTGTTCATGTTTCATCTCCTTTCTGTTTTATTCCTTGGTTTACGTTCTGACACTGAGGCTGTCAGTCTTGTGCTCTGACCGCTGCATGTAAAGACTGGATCGAAGATGTTATGGTAGTTTGGTCTCTATGCAATAATACGAATCCATTGCAAACTCTCAATCAGTGTTTTCTACCGATCTTAGTAACATCTGACACGTCAAGTAGTTTAGTTGTGGTTTGGGAACAGTAGACTACTTAGATGAATTGACCTCCGCTTTAAAAATTCTACAGCTGCAATGTAATGCCTCCTTAAAATCAGATAGCAGCAAAGTTTCTAGTCAAGAAACCTTTAATCTTCTCTCTTCATCACTTTCTTTTGTTGCCTTCTCTCTCTTCCAAGTATAAACACTACATAAGGGAGGCTTTTCTGACTGACCTCTCTAATCCATGTCGACTAGCTTAGTAATTGTGTAAGCCAGCTGGCTGCGTTCTCTCTTTGGGCTCCCTCCACAGGCA